TTGATGCGCGCGCTCGGTTTGACGTCGTAAGCACTGATTTATTCGGATTATTCCTTACCGTTATCTCATTAAATATTGTCAAAAAGAACTGAGACGACAGTGTGTTAAATTTTTGATGAAACAATGCATACTTATGAACCTTTTTCAGTTCAACACCAAACGATTTGCTAAAATAAATACCATCCAATGTTATTAGTTAAATCATATAAAACTTTAAGAGCATTGAGGACTCAAAATTTGCCAATAAACTACGAAGTTGAAAAGCATTGAGGACTCAAAATTCCGAAAGGTTTTGCCAATTACAGCTAAGGTTATCTATTCCTGGGGTAGAAAATACTTAGTATTTCGAAAAATTCAAAGTTTTGTAAACAGTTAATTTATAATTATGACCATATCAGTGATAATGCATGTCAACACAGAAGTGCTGACTACTAAAGATTACTCGTTAACACGTATGTAAACAATTCTTAACACCAGTGTATTCAATTTAACACTTACACCATCACAACTTGTTTGACCGTTATGGATTATCTGTTTGACAGATGACGACGACGGACCTACTGAATTAGGTTTGTACTTACATGAGCAACACGACGGGTGCCACATATGGAGCAGGATTTGCTTACTCTTCCGGAGAACATGAGATCAGCCCAATTTTTTTTTGGAGTTCGTGTTGCTTAGTCTTTGATTTTCTATGTTGTTTTGTGTACTGTTGTTTGTCTGTCTGTCTTTTTCTTTTTTAGCCATGGCGTTGTCAGTTTATTTTTGAATTATGAATTGGAATGTCCCTTTGGTATCCTTCACCTCTCTTTTTCCAATTTTCGAAACCTCAATGCCGTCCTTTTTTCTTCGAATGTAACCTACCGAATTAGACTTTAAACGGGTTTGTACTACACGAGCAACACAACGGTTGCCACCTGTGAACAGGGACTTTCTATACTAACTTTAGTTACCTATTATATTTAGTATAGACTGTCCCTGCTGTGAAACAGGATATACTTACCCTTCCGGAGCACCTAAAGTTACTCCCAATTTTGATGAGGTTCGTGTTGCTAAGTATTTAGTTTTCTATGTTGATTTTGGTATACTGTTGTTAGTCTTTTGGTCGTTTTCGTTTGTCATGGCGTTGTCAGTTTGTTTTCAACTTATGAGTATGAATGTCCCTTTGGTATCTTTTGCCTCTCTTTTACACATGTTTAACTGCAACCCTATATTTTACAAAGTAGTACAGAGAGAAGCTAGCACAAAGCAGTCCAAATTATACATACACCCTTTGGTTTTCTTTTTTTTAATTATTTTTCTTAAATTCAAAAACACATATTTAGGCCTATTTGGTTTATACAACATATTTTGGCAACTAAATTCACATACACAATTTGGCTTAGCTTCTTGTGTACTACATGTACAACGTCGCTGTCGCTCTTTATCGTTAGTTTGACTTTTTCTCCTGTTCCGGCTTTTAGTGGTATATATTTTTTTCATTTTATTAAGTTCTATTTATTTTTATTCTGTGAATTATATTCCATCAATTTAATTATTCATTTATTTTTTATCCAATTATTGTTCATTTTATTTTTCATTCTTGCTTTACAATATTTATCTTATGTTTTTGTCTCTCAAAATCGTATTAATTAACATAAAATAAAATGAATTATTCAAATGCCAAAAAGGCGCAAGCAAGGGCCGACCATGCGAGACCCTAATGGGTAGTCAATGTCGTTTAACACCCCTCAGCTAGCTATATGACCAAAATGGATCTTAAAAAGAATAGCCTTATACACCTGTGGTAAATTTTGGATGAGGAAGTTCGAATCTTAGTTTCTTAGTACTTTTCTTAATTTATTAACGAGGAAAGCACTATTACAAAAAGGTTGATACCGACAATTATAACGAAGATTCTCAGTACATTGATTGATAACTTATATTTCATACTATTTGAAATATTTTTGAAAAATAATAATGAAGTAATAAATGTTTGATGTAAATCTTTATGTTAGAGGTTTTTGTGCTTCGTGCCCATCTGACGAGTAATGCCATTTCCAACTCATTTTTAGTACCAGCCATGAATAATTAAGAGGAATAATGCATCTATAACATATACTTTTCGTGTAAACTTTGACTGTTTTAATTGAGTAAAGTTGACCCTGTAAACCTTTCTCATACACTTTAGGAAAAACCGACTAAAATTTTACTTTGAAAAATTTTGTTTCTTCTAATGCTCTCTTTAAACAGGGATGTTGAAATAGTTCGTTTTCTACTAGGATTAAAACAATAGCATGTAACAGTGAACATTTACACGCTTTTTAAAAAATAGGCTCATCCTTTTAAGAAAATAATTACGACTTAGGAAATTGGTAGATAATGTATTGCTATATGCCTGAGTGATTGAATACTGTTGAATTGACATCGCTTCCATCAGTTAAATGTGCCACCAAAAAGCTCAAAATAAAAACTTCAAAGATGAAATACTTTTGCAAGCAATAAAAGCATTTGATTGTTGGCATTTTCCTGCAAGTAACAGTTGAAAATAAAACTTAACATGAACCTTTTTTCTTATGATACTATAAGAACAAATCGGGGAAAATCTGTAATTAATCTCATCTTCTCGGGGACAATCTGTACACTGATCGTGGACAATCAGTTCACTGCATCAGAAATTGAAATCATATTTTTTTTAGTTTTTTCCAAATCTCCATAAAAAAGTACTCCCAGATCTAAGTCTACTGAAGTTGCACATTTGAATAAGTATTCTATAATTAGAGTAATAACATTTAGATATTTAAATAATAAAAAAAAAAATCATTTCCCATGACTTCTTTACTTCAGAAAAGTTTAAATTTTAAGGATTGGTTACAAAATCAGTATTGCACATGGGAGGTCAATGATAAGAATGTATAAATGAAAAGGAAGGTTGCATAATTATTGACTCAGATTCTCTTTAATTAAAAATTAGTACACTAGGGGGAAAATCACTTTCTGTCGTACTCGGTTACAGGCAGTGTAAATGAGATGTGACAATAAACACAACACAGGACGCCTTCAAAGACATAACCTGAAGCAATAAGTCCTGGAAATTTAATTATGTCTTTCATCGGAATTTCCTTGCTTGTAAATTAACTGATGATGTATAAATTTGTCAAGTAGTAGTGATTTGTACGAAGCATATTATCACTACAGACCAAGAATTATATCTTAATACCAGCATTTCTCTTTATAAAACGTACAATTTTTGTTTTTAACTTGACAATGTCATCAATTCATTATAATGGTTTCCACTACCAATACGGAACATATACTTACGTACTAAAACATAAAAGTACAATTGCCGATTTTTTTTTAAATTAATAAACGTCAACAGTTTGAACGATAAAAGACTCGATTAAAGCTATCTATTACCAATTTATCCAGCTGATGTCAGAATCGGCCAGAACTGAAGTAGTTTGTATTGATAAATGTTTTTTTTTACCCATTAATGTGTTAATGTCCATTTACATGATTACATCATCAGTTGCAGTAAGTCTGAATCTCCGTTTCGGAAAGTCTGAGTCTAACTGGTTAGAGATGGGTGTTAATTATTATTGGCATTTTTTTCCAGCAATAAACCTGCTGGTGTAATACATAGAAAAACGAAGTATCATTTATCAGATATTAATATATGTACGTGCTTTTTATGTAGGATGCAAACAAAATTAAAGAAAAATTAAATTATATATTACAATTGTTGGTATTCAGAATTGACTCATGAATAATTAAGTAAATACAAAAAAATAAGACAAAAGAAAAGATAAGAACATTTGATAGAACTAACATTGAGACAACCGAAAAAGCGTTAACAATTGCTATACTTAACTTGTCATCAAGATCGCTAAAGCAAAGTATTATATATATATATTAAGAGAGCACTGATGAAAAGTATTGACGATAAGGTCAAAACAGTGTATAAGTATTCAGATTATCTATAGTCCCAGTGATGACTTTCAGAAAATGATTCCATCTTTTAGGCTAAGAGAATTTACATGTACTAATGGTTTAGGAAATTGGTAGTGTCTTAGGTTCTGACGAGAAATATATAACAATCTGTTATGGTGTGAAGCCTTTACACCGACTATCACTATGTCGAAGTCGAAGTGTTACATTTTAGAACGCGACGGGTGTCGGTTACCAGTATCTGCTGTCCCAATAGCACCTGAATGTTTACTAACGGGCGGAGTTGTTCAATGTTTCGTTTTCTGGTAATGTTTTGTGGGCTACTGTATATTGGTTTTTTTTTCTTTCAGTAATGGTGTTTTCAATCTTTCTCCGGCTTTTTGTTTTTGTTTGCCCTCGATATCATAGGAGTTTGTAAAAGTTCTTTTGTAAATGTCATTTATAGAAAAAGTAAGTACATGTGCTGTAGACAAAAACAATAATAAAGATATGAATGAATAAATGTGAAATATCAGGAAAAGAAAATATTAAACAAACGTAACTGAATAAAAAGGTAATATATTATTAGTTACATGGTGTGTTAGTGACCTAATACGATATATATGGGGTCAGTAAATTCCATATGGGGTGAGAGACTATCTTCACATGTGGTATTTTGACTAGCGACCTATCAAAGTGATTTTAAAGTCTTCAATACTTAGTATTAAGATCCTACTTCCATATGTCTATACAGAAAAGAAATGCCCACAATAACAACTTTTTAGCTTTCTATATGTTTTTTTAATGAATTTATTTCAATCGTTCATTATATGTATCAATTTCTTCGTCTGATGAAACCTTTCAGATTTCTTTTTTGTTTTGAAAGGGAAGTGACTCCTTAATGCCAACAATAACAATTTGTTAGCTTTAATTATGTTTTATGAATTTATTTCAATCTTTCATCATCAATTTCTTCGTCTGTTGAAACCTTTCAGATTTTTCCTCAACACCGTGTTGTTTTTATAAAGGGTCGTGCCATCTTTTTTGTTTTGAAAGGGAAGTAACTCTTTACTAACCCCATATGGTAACTAACCATGTATGGTAACTAACCCTATATTTTTTTAGGACACCCTATATCAAATATACATAGTCACCACGTGTAGTCCTTTAACCAATCATATCCCTATAAATCTATAGGAGGTAAGATAGAAAAAATTTACAATGTGTATGCCAAATTACAATGTATATTCTAAGCCAATAGATACAGAAGTCTGCGTTTGCTGAATAAGTTACTTTTATTTTCAGAACAATTATACTGCAATGGTACATTTGATGGATACACTTGTTGGAACTATACCAAAGCAGGGACAAAGACCTATGGATACTGTCCGTTGTTTATGGTGGAGAAATTTGGCCAACAACCAGGTAATTTGAAACAACAGTAATACGTAACAGGGAATAGTTTAGTGGAAGATCGTACCAAGTCTAAATAATAAACCAGGAGGACGCAATACGTGTAAAATAGCAGATCTTGATATATGATGAACAAATTCCAATTTACTGTAAGTGGCATGATAAGTCGTGATTGGCCTTATACTAGCAATTTTAAATTTTAATTGACGGAATACGATACTTTATATAACTAAAATAATACCCATATGTTGTAATTTTCCTGCATGTGTAAGTCTATATTAGTCTTATTCTTTTAACAAAGAGACGAATGTTTTTTTCTGATTAAATCATAATAAATGTATCATATAGTGTCTAGCTAAGTTGGAACAAACGTCGACCCAAAAGAGTTTCTATTCTGTTTGATCAAATTCCAGCAATACAAAATAATGGAGAAAATGTCCTCCCCACATGGTTTAAATACTGTATCTGGTTTAATAGAAATAATTTTCTACAAGTCGAGTTTTATTGCTCGGAAATAATTTATATGTTTACAATTTCTTTCTCCGAGTGATGTTTTAAGCATTACAAAATGTTTTTTTTTACTTCAGCATGTCTTTAGCAAACACAATTTTAATTCAATACTGAATGCAAAACATTTAAAAGAAGGACCAAGTAAATATTTGATAAATCTTTTTGAAAGATTACATCACACAGCAAACAATTATACTATTTTAGTTATCGTTGTAAAGTGTTATTAAACCAGATATAGCTGTACTTAATTTGATTTTAAGATGAATACACAAAAATCAAGTATGAAATTTGACATTTATTTGAAGATTGTTTCTTGAGTGATATAAAATGAAAACAAACCCAATAATTGGATATTGATTAGATACATTTGTTACTTTCTGGGAATTCACGAAAACCGTTCTCTATTTGGCATCAAACCAACATATTTTTCTCCGACTGAATAAGTTTTGCAACGTATTTATTACGTCATTTTGTTGAAAATATTTTACGAAAACATAAATGATGAATATTAAAAACACTATGATACTAGCAATTTTATTTTTACGGGAAAACAACAAAAATTCCGAATGGAAAAAGTCATTTTATATTGAGCACAGAATTCTACAACCATTTTAGATATTTTGTTGTCAGATGCTATTATTTACGCCAATTCCTGTACACTATTACAATACAGGCAGAAAGGAATGTGCAGTAACTGTAATTGTTTTATCTTATGACTTTTCTTCATAGAATTAAATGCGCAAAGATTTGATAAATAAACAAAAATATACATGTTAAAGTAACGGTCCAGGATTCACAAGTTCAAATTCTTCGATTTTTTTTTTAAATCGCGCAAAAACTAGTACAAAATAATCTGTCCTTTCACCCTTTTCACATGTGACCACCTCTCTCTCTCTCTATTCGTTAGTTCCTGGATCGGCTACTGATTAAGCTTAGCGAATCAAATTGTGCTACTGTGAATTATCTTTTGTATATCTCCTCCATAAAAAAAAATTCAATCGGGCCACTGAAACAATTATTTCTATAATCATTGTACAAAAATCATGAATCATCATGGCAAGATTAAGAAAAAGAATGAGGTTATGCTTTAAAGTTAGAAAAATTTTGTAACTACGGAAAATATCATAAATGAAAATAAGAAAATAATAAGACGCCTTCCGTATGCATTTTTTTAAGGAAAAGGGAAAATAATAATGGCAAGCAATGGTCTTTCAACAACCTTCGCATACAACATACACATTCCAGGATTACGTATAGAGTATAGAATAACGGTCACTCGGACTTCTACAGTCTAGTAGGGATACCAATTAGAGATCATATATTGCCTGTTTGACTGTTTTGTACATGCATTTACGTCCGATCGACATTAATTAATTCTTCTATCCTGTAGTCACAAAGTGCCTATTACCTTTCTCTTTTTTTCATTTGTCCCTTTCGACCCACCGAGTCGCCAAAACCTTCTAACATGATTTATGTTGAATATGTTATCTTTCTTAATGTGGCTGAACTATTTGACATTGGACATAAGAAAAACGACTACAAGTTACTTCCAGCAGTCTATCGTAAGATCGAAATCAGTATCATTAACTCCCCAGGCATAAGATCTTAGGAACATTCGAGTCGTTATTATCATTAAGATGTCTTAGTTAAATCACAAATGAATGTAAGAGTCAGGACATATCTAATTGTATCCCAAGGGCATTTGTCATTGGTAATATTTTGTTTCCTTTCTCATATCAATTGTTTCAAATGAGTTCCCAAATGCACAATCAAACACTGTTTTGCAATTAAAATGCAAATAAAATCCCAAATGGAAGAAGAAAATAAATAAAACTGTTACATCTTATATACGGAATGATGGATTGATAGTTTTGATATAGCATGATCTGTCAAATGATTGCATTATCTAATATCACACCGGGAACATAATAATTAAACCATGTTCATTTATGTCAGATATATTAATTTCCTTCCAGTACCACTAACATTTGGTCATGTATGTCAGATATCTTTATTTACATCTAGTACCACTAATATTTAGTCATGTATGTCAGATATGTTTATTTACAACAAGTACCACTAATATTTGGTCGTTTTGTCGGATATCTTTATTCATCTCTAGTACCACTAATTTTTGGTCATGTTGTCGGATATCTTTATTTACCTTGAGTACCACTAATATTTGGTCATGTATGTCAAATATCTTTATTTATCTCTAGTACCACTAATATTTGGTCATGTATGTCAAATATTTTTATTTATCTCTAGTACCACTAATATTTGGTCATGTTGTCGGATATCTTTAGTTACTAATACTGGTCATGTATGTCGGATATCTTTTTTATTTACCTCTAGTACCACTAATATTTGGTCATGTATGTCAGATATCTTTATTTACCTCTAGTACCACTAATATTTGGTCATGTATGTCAGATATCTTTATTTACCTCTAGTACCACTAATATTTGATCATGTATGTTAGATATCTTTATTTACATCTAGTACCACTAATATTTGGTCATGTATGTCAGATATCTTTATTTACCTCTAGTACCACTAATATTTGGTCATGTATGTCAGATATCTTTATATACCTCCAGTAACACTAATAGACATGTATGTTCTAAAATGAATACAAGTTTAATCTTTCCAAAAACGTATTTAAAACTAACAAATTACTCATTAGACGAAGGAGGTTAATTCGGATCTCAATGGTTAGACTAACACGCGATACCCGTTAAGTTTTACTGATTTTTTTACTCCCTGAATGATGGGTTTAATTATAATATCTGTCAGATACAAGTAAATTGTAACCGATTTTCGATATCATCATCACCTTAAAACACATCGAGAGTAACCCAAAAATTGATGTTTAAATTTAGCATGTTCCGATGGTTACACTTACAATGTTGTGTGTTGGTTGCACCGAAGTACTGTTTTAGACCCATACTTTCTAAATTGTATAATTTGATAGTTTAACAAATTACTTTATTTTTACAAATAGCTACCTAATAATTTCACATCGGTCAGCATCGAGTAAACGCATAAGTGAACAGAGCGATCATCATTACGATATATTATATGTAATACGTGATGATATTAATACCATACACATCATACATGTACATAGGAATTGTTGGGGACAAAACTAATCGTCTTATAAACAGTTTAAAACATATGCAATGCGTAATAATAAATGTATCAATTTTGACTTCCAGGTATTATCCAACAATATGTGATCCTACCGCAACATATTCATCGATCTGGTCTCGAATACACATACTGTCAGACCATCTTATACAATTTCCCCTCCCCTACCTGACATGATCCTCATTTCATAACTCACTCAAGCCAATAGAATCTTAGCCACACATACCAATCAGAACTAACTGTTGTTTAGTAATGATTTCAAGATGGCGTTTATATGGATTGAAACTAATAGCATCGCATCGTAATGCGAAGCAGAAAATACAAAATTTCTGGTTTTTCAAAGGGTTGAGTGCAAAAAGTTAATTGCAATAATAATTCAAGCTGATTTAAGAAATACCGACTAACATTAACCAACTAGTACATTCTCAACATTTTTCATTATGATTTATATTGAATCTAGATTCAGAACAAATTGAACGTTCCTCATACTAAGTCTTAATAAAACTTCAAATTATGTTATTTGGACCATTTGAGCCTATCTTTTTTTTTTATTATTAAGACCTTAAAACTTTAAAAAAAAAAGAAAGGTGATCTATTTACAGAAATATATAAGAGTAAATGTTGGAAATACATTTTTACATCAACGAACCAGCAACTTAACAACAGAATAAAACTGGAAAAAAATCGGTTTTATGACGATTCCCCCCAATTATGTCGATTAAGAACTATAATACGTTACTATGCTAATGTTTGTGCTGTTTATACTATAGTTAAAATAGTTGTTACACTTCAAAGGGTTGGTATTAAAGAGTTTTCAGTAGTCAATAAACACTATTGTTTCCTAACTGTAAAGTTGAAATATTCGAAAGTAAAATATTCGAAAGTAGCTTGCTGTTCGGTGTGAGCCAAGGCTCTGTGTTGTAGGCCGTACTTTGACCTATAATGGTTTACTTTTATAAATTGTGACTTGGATGGAGAGTTGTCTCATTGGCACTCATATTACATCTTCTTATATCTATTGGATAACCGTCATGGAATATCTATATCACAGATGACCACGAATCTGGTCCACATGTCGAAGCTATAATTCGGTTCTCGTCTGTGTCCCGATTGTGACACACTGGTTTAATAGACAAATCAAAAATGATAATATTCATTATTGTCTCAACATTTTCAATATCAAGGACCAGTAATAAGATAAAAGAAAGCCAACGTATTAACCGGTATTTCAGTTTGTTCCTATGTTGTGTTGTTACATGACTGTTCCAGGGAACGGTTGATCATTCACAAATGTGGGGCCTCGGTGGCCAAGTCCATCTACAGTTATTACTAGCCTGTCAACACTGAGGTTATGAGTTTGAACCCGCACGTGGCAGGTGCATTCGACAATTGACATGAATTGCCAGTTTTCTTGTCGAATGTCGGTGGTTACATCCGGAAATCAGGCTTCCTCCACCACCAATGGATGACACACACATTGTATGTTTAAAAAGTTGATAACAAGTCTATAGAAAATGTTTTATTAGAAAAAAAATCCCCCCGCCCCCCCGCAAAAAAAGTAAAAAAAAATTAAAGAGAACAGAAACCAGTAAACCAGCAAACAAACAAAATATTTAAATAAATGATTAATGAATAATAATAATAATATTAACAAAACTTATAAAAATCTCTTCTTTTGCAATATGTCAATCTTATTTGCGCAGTTTATTCAACAAACACTTCGCCTACATGTTGCATGTTTGTTTATTGAAGGACAACCGTTTAAGGAATGTAATACAGATGGTACATGGTATAAACATCCTAATACTCAAAGGTCATGGACAAACTACGCTCCATGCTCTGATACTATGAAAGTACAGGTATGCATTATAGATATGTACAAGACACACCAGTTTTTCAAATAAAGTAAAAACTGTAAGCAAGCCACAATGACTGTTTATTCTGATAATTATGAAGTACATGTACTTTAGTTTACTGTAGTTGTTTTTATGCTGATGACTACGGGTATATTGATGATACGCAGCAGACAATCCACATCTGACTATTTATAGCATAATTTTACATATACCATAGATAAGTTCTATCTGCTATGACAATATTATATAACATGCACTGACTATAGATCTCTGATCTCTGATATTGACAAATGTTTTACTAAATAGACATTCCATTGTTAACGGATTTGCTGCTCTCTGTGTTCTGATACTGACAAATGTTTTAACAAATAGATATTCCATTGTTAACGGATTTGCTGCTCTCTGTGTTCTGATACTGACAAATGTTTTAACAAATAGATATTCCATTGTTAACGGATTTGCTTCTCTCTGTGTTCTGATACTGACAAATGTTTTAACAAATAAATATTCCATTGTTAACGGATTTGCTGCTCTCTGTGTTCTGATACTAACGAATGTTTCACTAAATAGAAAGTTCATTGTTGATGGATTTTTTCATCGTTGATAATATTCAAATACCTTTCTTGTGTCACTCGATTTAATTTCGTTCTTTTTTTCAGAGAGCCAATAATGTGTTATATGCTTACTTCAGTGGATATGGTGTGTCCATTGTGGTTTTGATTGTAGCCTTGTTAATATTAGCTTATTTCAGGTAAGTAACAGATACCACGGAAGAAATTAGTTTTCCTGCTAAGGTCATGGATTTTCATCTATATAATAAAGCGTTACCATTTACATGTATATGTACATTTGAACTTACAAAATGTATCAATAATCTTCAACAATCAAGTTCGGAAATCAAAAAGTAGTCAGTACTTTATACGTTTTTTTCGTTATGCCTGCAAATATTAACATGATATTTGATACGTTGGAGGTCTACGGCTATTGAATTAAAAAAATATCATGAACATTGTACTCGTCCAAACTTAGTTTTGTAATGCTTGCACATCTGCAACTGATATTTTGGGAATAGAAGATTTACAGGTAGAGTTTGAGTTCCATTCGAGTCTGGGTGCATTCGGGCGATTCGTATTGTACCGTCATAGTATAGTACTGAATTTAAAAATATTACGTTTCTTCAAGCCTGCACATATACCAGTTATACACAGATAATCAATGTCAATATCTTTCCTGTTTTCTTGAACATTGTTTTTTGTGCTTTGATTGTTTTCCCTCGTGTCCGTGGGGATACCCATTACTTGCTGTATAGTTTTGCATGTTAAGGCTAAAACCACTTTGTATCAACTATCTTATTATCTGTGTATAAAATATGTTTTTTCTTCAGCGATCCTGTCACTGAAATAAAAGAAAAAGGTATGATAAGGCCATTTTTTAACCCCTTGAATTCGAAAATCAAAAAGTGCTGTAATAAATTCATGTTTCATCCTTTGGATATTTTGTAAGACGTCGGTATTTATATCTTTAATTTAAATTCACAAATTGGCATTAGGGCTTAAAACTTCTTATATTTAGTGCAAAACATAAAAATAAACAAAACTAGCCTAATTTTGAGATCTTGCCATTACTTTTTATAGATTTAAGCAACAGCTGTAACTGCAAATTATTTTGATACAAAATGTATTTTACAAATAGGTTGAGTGTAAAATATCTCTTTTGCTAAGAATATATATATTTTGACCAAAAACTTTACATGAAATGGCTATTATAGGTTAAGTGCGTAAATTTAAACACAAATGACCTTTCTGCACTAATATGTCTACATTGTATTTACCTGTTCATTTATCAATAAAATTAGCAGATTGGAATTAAATTACAATTTGATTGTTAATCAAAATAACGGCTCTTATCATAATTCCTCCTTTAATGAGATAAAATAATTTATTTTTCTCTCATGTGTCAGATTATATATATAATGCATCAAATTTTCAGAAGCTCAGAAGGGGCTATATAAATGGGAATATAAATCATTATTTGCAATTAGGAATACAAAAATTGATCAATGTCGTTCATTTTCATCATTGAGAACTATAAAAAATACAGTATGTTTTTTTGGTAAATTACACATATTAAAGTCGACTCATATAATCTATCCTACAATATTTATACAAATATCACCAGATTATTCAGAAATTTAACCAGTTTAAATCTTTGCAATTCAAGATTATTATAACTCGCAGATGAGCTTTGGCGTATTTTATCAATAATATGTATTTCAAGCAAAAAAATTAAGCCTTACCCTGTCCGCTATGGTACATTCTCGCGATTTACAACTCAGTGCTAAGTTTATTGTTCGACAAGCTTTAAAGATCAGTCCAAAGCAATTTTTTCAATCTTAAATATCCTTAACCAATTCCAGTGACTGACTTTCTGTTTACTATACAAGTAGTACTGATTGAACAAATTTAATAGTCAATACAAGGAATACTAGTTTAAATATAGGATAACTTGCAATCGGAAACTCCTATTATAATAACAGTAATCTGTAATGTAATTCGTTCTTAATAATGCAAGACATTCTGACAGTTTATCAAAATAAGCCACGTTTGGTAATCCAATAATTTTTCCTATAGAGTAATTTATTCATCTTTACACTCAATCAGTTTTTTTTATTTTTTCTGTATTTTCAGACAGTTGAAATGCACACGAATAACTATACACAAACATCTATTTGTATCGTATATTCTAACAGCTGTATTTTGGATAACATACTACGCTAGTACTTCATTTGATCCTCATGTCGTCGCAGATAACCCGGTGAGTGTGCTTTATATTTCTTCATGTGTTGTGTGTGAATGTTGTCGAGAAAGAAAATTAAGTGAATTATAATTGGAATAGTGTTCAATGTTTTTACTCTGATGGTCTGTAAACTGTTGTTTGACATTTTTTTTCTGTTGTTTTTTGGTTATGGTGTTATCTGTCTTCTTCGATTATTAGATTATTGTATCTTCTTACTTTTTTTTTTAGAATAACATACCTTTCTTTAATTCTCTATTGATAAATTCAGAAATTATTAGAGACAAAGGCTAAAACTCTCTTATAGGCAAAGTTGAATTTTGCTTTTCTTTTTATGCTCCTTCTGCTCATATACTAGTAGCTCCTCGAGTATAATTAGTATTTTTGATTTAACAGTCTATCATCATTTTTAAGAGCACGTATAACATATGAATAAAACGGTGCATCATATTTGCGCGCATTACCATTAAATTTGTGCGTAAAAATTCCTTTTAAGGGTAAACACATGTAGATTTAGGTTAACACAGGCAAATTATACTTATTCATTTATTTGTTTACTTATAAGTGCCATGCACACTTACGAGAAGGTGGAAGTGGCAGGACAAGTCAGTTTTGATATGCACAACGGCACCAAGTCCTGGGAATGCAAATCTGAAGAGTAAAAGTACCGATTTTACATGTCGGTACATGTTGAATATTTGAAGTCCACTGCTTCAAGAAAAACGAATTCGATCAACTTCTGCTTTCTTATATTTTTGGAATTGCTCTATCAGATACTCTGTTTTTATTTTTCACTTCTGCGTACAACTGCTAGTGTAAACTTTAACTGTGAAGAAACACAAACATACATCATTTCTGAATAAAATTTTTCATTGTAGTGAGCATGGAATGATTCCGGATCATTTGTAGAAATTCAATATGAAAAATATATAATCTAAAATTATAAATATGTTCAAAATTAATAACTATCGACATATTTATTTTGGTTTATCTTTATATTTACCTGTGCTACCTGTAAAATGAATGCGCAAAAATGTAATCAAAAGCAGCGCGCAAACGTCACAAAAAACTAAATCCCCTAATTCGCGCAAATGTTAAGCGCTCGAATAAAACGAGATGTAGTGTATACGTCAGACAGACAGAAACTGATTTGATAGATAACGTTTCCAAAAACTATATGAAGATGCTTTCTTGTAAGGAATATGTACCCTTTATAAAAACTATTGAGAAATAAGGAAACATAAAAAGAAATTTTTCACTGCGATAAATAAAATACATTGATAGACATTTAATAGAAATGTACTGTAATTTATAATACACTCTGCTGAGAAAATCCGACTTATACTGATATCTTGTTACATATTCTGTACTTACAGTCTAGTCTTTTCATCGGTCACATGTCAATTTTGAAATGAAAATTTGTTTTGTTATAAATTAGACTGTTAGTTTTCTCATTTAAATTGTTTCATATTTTTCATGTTGGGGGCATTTTATAGCCGACTATACGGTATGGGGTTTTCTCATTGTTGAAGGCCGTACGGTTGGCTATAATTTCTTACATCCACTTCATTTGAACTTTGCTGTATAGTTGTCTAATTGGCAATCATACCACATCTCCTTATTTTTATATTAAGAAATTTTAAAAATATTTTTCTGTTATTTGCCTTATATTTTACAAGGTATGGTGCCGAATACTGCATGTACTTTCACAATATGTAACAGTTTGTAACTATGCTTGGATGTTTTGCGAAGGATTTTATCTTCATACTGTACTTGTACTGACTTTTACAAACGAGAAGACATTGCTAAAAATATGTTACGTAGTTGGATGGGGTAAGTACTTTTGAATTAGACGCAACAGTTGTTTCTTATGTTCAAATCTCATAAAAACATCCAAAGCGTACATATCAAGGCACAAAACAAAACTTTAGGGAATCGCATAAATTCCAAAGAGACTTGGTGCGTCGAAAAGTTAAGCGGCGCATGTTATGCATTCAACACCCGCCATGCGACCAACACTCAGTTAAAATATCTTAATATACAATAGGACAAAATCGGTAATTCAACTGAGATTTATAACAAATTACAATTAATTCTTAACATTTATATCTTTTCAATTTGGCACTTTTATAATTAAAGTGACTGCATAATTTCCTATTCCATTGTCATTTGAAAGGTCTGACAGCAACAGTAGTAAAAACTGTTATTGAATATATCGAAAGTGTTTTGAGGTTAGCATCGTAGTCTGACATACAGTAAACAAAAACAAACAGTTTGTTACGAATGTTGTACACCTTGACTTACTAAACCTCAAAGTTCATCGTTGCAGAAATTCTTGCAAAATAAGATGAAAAACCGCAATTCACGAGCTATGTCTTTGGTTTATTGCTTATCACCAATCATTTTTATGGAACTTTTGTTCCATGTATATCTATACAATATACCTTTCTTGCTTGATTTTTTTGGTGTATAGATCTTCAGGTTTACAAAAAGGACCTCATTTTTTCCAGTTTGTGTTCATGAGGCAACTACTCATTGTTACACACCTGATTCATCATATTTCAATTCAGTCATAGTGTTTATTCAAAATGTTTGCAGACATCCCATTTACATTGCCCAGTACAACCATTTTTGTCATTGATAAGTTTTACTTTCAAAGCTTTGCAAAGATACGTGACTTCTACAGTCAATGATGCTGTAAAAGAGTAAAGGGGGTTGGTAGAGGTGCTACAGATAAGGAAGAGCTATGAAGTTCAATGTTGAATTTCCAGCATCCATCAAAATAAAGAACCGTAACGAACTCGCTGGTTTATGGCTATATCTGATTGTTTTAGGGGTTTTCTGTCTCATGTTCATCAACTCAATCTTTTTATCCAAATGTTACATAATTGCACAAACGCAGTAATTCAGTTCGATAGGCCTAATGTTAAAACATTGTCGGAAATTACTGCCTTATGGTCCCATCGTTTGGTAAAGAATCTGTTAGAGTACCTATAATCTTATTCGGTCTTTTTGTTCAATAGTAAAACATTTGACTATACTTCGTCCTTTACACAATTATTGTTTATCCTAAACTTGAAAGACTATTTGAAGACATAATGAAAGAACTAATCCAACTTTGTTTCATTAAAAAGGATGTTAAAAGCATGATACCTTGTAAAAACGCTCTTATTTGGAAAAATAAGTTCTCTGAAATTGACATCATCTGTCAAGTAGTAAATGTCTACAACTATAGATTCGTGTTCTTTTATACTGAAAAATCTTTACTACTCGTTAAAATTTCTTTGTAGAATGATCCAGGCGTTGTATTCACATCATGCGCTCTGATGCTTGAGACATTTGCTGAAATATATAAAATATTTGTTATAGTTATAATTCGACATATAGGAAAATCATTATTAACTTGACTTGTACATTTTAAGTAGAAGTATGTTTTTTAATTAGTCACTGTAGGTCAAAATGACTTATTTGTATAAAAAACAAAGCATTAAACCAACTTCTTTTACTAGAACTGTAAGATCATGCGTATTTTTTTTAGAAAAAACACCACTTTGATATTGAAAACCACCAGTAAATTGTTAAAAACGCGTTTTCGTCATTTCAGAAAGCTATTTCCGTGTCTACAAAATGATCTGACATGATGCTTACGTAATGATGACGTATCTTCTTACTGCTAGTGAACTATGTAAACATGTTTGTTAACTATAAACATTAAACTTCACTATAATTACAATACTCTAATATCGCAATGAATCAAATGGCCTCACAAGTTATTGCATTTCTATCATGAAAAAGTGAAAGCGTAAAATAACAGCTCAATTTTTATGCGAAAGGAAGTCAATAAATGTATAAAGTTTTAATACAAGGACACTAAAATTGAAATGCCAAAGCGGTAAGAAGACATTTGAAATTAAATGACTATCCAGTAACATTTCATAGATCTGCATTACAGGAAAACAGTTTTGTCAACTTCAAGTAATAAAATGCCATATAATTTTATTTCTATATTCCGACGTAGTGACATTTTTCACGGAAATGGTAATTATTCACGAAATGCAAATGTTATTCCTGTATGAATATAGAATAAGAATATTTATTGGTCTAATTAAGGGCCCTGAACGTGTGTTATGGTGCATATCAAAATGTCAACTATTTAGACGCAAAAGAACAATAGTTACAACAGTTTCCTGTTTTGGCACAACTTTTCTGAATTTTTAGATTGCAATGTTCTTGAAGTTCGTGTTTTATTTGGATATCTGAATGTTGACCTCTAGATATCTGTATGTGGACCTCTAGATATCTGTATGTGGACCTCTAGATATATGTATGTTGACCTCTAGATATCTGTATGTTGACCTCTAGATGTTATTAGTTGCTGTCTCATTAACTTATACCATATCTCTCTTTTTTTTATCCCTATTCATGCATAGAACACAGATATCGCATAAGTATATCACTACTCATTTATTTCTATAAAGAAACGACTTGTTGCTGAAATAAATGATTGTTTATCACATTTTTGTATTTCACAGGCATCCCAGTCGTACCTTCTGCTGTTTATACAGTGTTACGTTCAACAAACGAAGATGTTAATAATAGGTTTGTTTATATATGATGCTAATCAAGGAAATCAAAACTAATTTTCAGGACCGATTGCTCTGTCACTTTTAGTAAGTAACTATGACTTCAAAAAATTGCAATGTTGTATTAAAAATCGACAAAAAAGAAGTAATAAATATAATTAAGTTTGTTCAATCTATTATTATTATTTTATATTATGTTTGAAAATTATGATTGTAATTATTCTGCTCATTCCGGGAACCGTAATTGGCAAATAAAAAATGAGTATGTTTTCTTGTCTGTCGTATACATGTATGATGTTTTCTAAATTTTTTCTATAAATTCTGATTATGCCTGGCAGTTCAAACCCACATCAACTACTTTCAAAAATGATGAAAAAGTTTTTTTAAGTGGAATTTGTAAATAAAGATTTAGTAGCTATCAATATTAGTAATTTTTCCCACTAGAAATCTGTAAAAGAACACAAAAATACCTGATTACTTCAAAGATGATACTACTCTTGTCTCATATACCTACTCCATATCCATTGCATCTAAAGTTGATTACCACAAGAGGGTGCTAGAGACCTTTCGGCCGAAAGAATTAAAATCCAAACCTACCGATTGCTCTTGTTCATTAACCCCATACAAGTATAGTCCCGCTGGTCAATGTTATAATACGGATATTGTTTGATTACAATTTTGCTGTTATACAATTTATTAAATTATTTTAAATAAAGGAATATATCTCCCTCATGTATAGCTCTGACTTATTCCTATTCCGGATTTGGCTATACTTTAGGTCCTTTTTGGTTTGATCCACTCTTCAACATTTGCATTAGATTTTGTATATTCTATTATTTTGGCCTAGAGCATCACTGAAGAGACATTTTAAAATTATCGAAATGCGCATCTGGTGCACTAAAATTGGTACCGTTTATGTTATATTATTACAACTGGAACACTGGGTATCGTAAATAATGAACAACTCAGAGAGTTAACGAAAGGCCTGATGTATCGAATTTTTCAGCCAATCAACTGAAAACAAAAGTATCCAGGTTGCTAATTGGTTTAGTTGAGGAAAGTAGGTTTCTAACCCATAAAAAATAGCCCAAAGTCGTGAATGCTTTATCCTCTCTACAGGAAAAAATATGTTGTTCCAGCTGACAATGGCTGAAACAAAATGAGCGCATCCTTATTTGGAATGTCTAACAAACTTAAAATTCGAAGCATATCTTGGAATCCAACATCTATCCCTGCATTATTGACGCAAGAATAGATTTAAGAAAACCATAAATCCGTCCTTCTCTCCATTGGTATTACTGAAAATCTCCCTTTTTCTGGATACCTTAATTTGACAAAATCGTTATAAAGAACGATATATAGCAGTATCCTCTAGATGTTCGACATCACAATTTTCTGAAGTTCATACTTTTATTCTTTCTACAGTAAGGGATGACACATTAAGAAATATTGTGATCAGGTAAAATCAGTGGTGTCAATCAGATGTGGATTCTTAGTCTTTAATTTTCTATGTGTTGTGGACTTGTTTGTGTTTCGTCATCTTTCGGTTTTTGCCATGGCATTGTCATATTCTCTCGACTTATGAGATTAAAAGTTCCCTAAGTATATATCACCTCTTTCACAGTCTCAGTGTACAAGTTTGCAGTATAATCAGAACTTTTCCCACATACACAATTAAAAGATCGACAAACTATTTTAATTAAACAGAGACTTTATCACAGAAATGGGAATCGTAGATACAAAATCATTGTTTTAAGTCCTGAAAATTCCAACAACAAATACACCGAAGATAATATCATAAAAATGCTGAATATTTTGAACGATAACAAATTTGTTTAGTTTGGTGGATTCATATTTCTTCAGACGGTATTCCAATTGGTATCAATTATTCTTTTGGCCAATACATTTACCGATTGTGTGCATGTGTGCTCAGATTTTTATAGTTTGTTCTTAAATATGTTTCAGTGTTCTAATCGTGTATAAAATAAATAAATAAAAAAAAAAAAAAAAATAAAAATAAATAAATAAATAAATAAATAAATAAATAAATAAATAAATAAATAATCTTTATTTCAAGAGTATAATCTCATTGTTTATAACATATTGTTGATAACACATTGTTGCACCACTGTCCAAGGTTAGGGGGAATGTTTGGCGCCAGCAAACATGTTTAACCCAGCCACATTATTTATGTGCCTGTCTCAAGTCAGGAGCCTGTAGTTCAGTTGTTTTCCTTGGTTCATGTATGTGATTTATGTTTTTCGTAAACTGTATTGTTATAAATAAGACCGTTAGTTTTCTCAATTGAATTGTTTCATATTTTATGTCGGGGCCTTTTTTAGCCGACTATACGTTTTGGGTTTTTCACCTTGTTGAAGGCCTTACGGTTGCCTATGATTGCTTTCATGCACTAGATTTGAGCTTTGATGGATACTTGTCTCATTGACAATTTACCACATCTCTTTATTTTTATATGGTGAGTGATGCATGCGTTGCAGGAGACGCTAACCCTGTCGATACACCCGGTCTCGCTCCTTTTAGAATTCATGCGATTCCCTCAGGTTTTGTTTACTTATCTTTATTTATCTATTCTTACACTACCAAGAATTATATCACATGGTTATTGTACATTTCTACTCTCTTGTAAATCATTACTGAACGGCTACATGATACAATTGTAATGTTCTACTTTTGGTAAATTCAGTACTGTTTTTTTTCAGTACTGTAACAGTACTGATTTCTTTAGTATTGTAATAGTACTGATTTCTACTGTACTGTAACAGTAATGATTTTTGCTTTACTGTAACAGTACTGATTTTTGCTGAACTGTAACAGTACTGATTTCTTCAGTTCTGTAGCAGTACGGAGTTTTTCAGTACAGTAATTGTACTGAATTTTTTAGTTCTGTAACAGTAGTTTTTTCAGGAATGTTTCAGTACTGATTTTTTCAGTTCTGTTTCTAGACTGATTTATTTCAGTAGTGATTCAACACTAACTTTTGATTGCTGTTCCTTATTGATATTTCATCTTGTTGAAGTCACTTTTTCTGTGAAGTCTTTTTTTGTTAGTTTGATATTCCATAATGATAAATAAAATTAAGGAGATGTTGTATGATTGCCAATAAGACAACTATCCACTAGATGGACCATTAAAATGTGGAAATTAAGTACTATTTTGTTATTTCAGTTACTTATATACCCATGCTTATGAATTGAGTGTGGTTTAAAGAATTTGAGTAAATACTCCTTGATGTTGCAAAATAAAATAGCATCTGTAGGATTTTTGAAATTACACATTACATTAGAGTTTCAGCGAGATTAAGCCCAAAAAATAGCCCAATGCCACCGAGGGGTTAACGCACTGAGAAAATCCCACACTCAGTCGCGGGCTTCGTCTGGTCCTGAACAATAATGTATACTATTATAGCGAAATGGACGCCACACTAAACTCCAAAACATACAAATGAACAAAAAAAAAAAACACACAAGACTTGCAAAGGCTAGAGGTTCATGACTTAGGACAGGTGCAAAATTAAGTTAAGCATGTTTTGTGAGATCTCAACCCTCCCCCTTTTACTCTTACTCTAGCCAATGTTGAATAAACAAACACAGCAAATCGCACAGTAACACTCAGTTTAAAAGAAGTAAGAGTCATGTGTTATAATAGGTAACAGAAGAAAACTAAGCAAAATGGCAATGATAAACACAAATTAACAGAGGACTACAAGCAGTTACTGACATGCAAGCTCCAGACTGCAATTAAACTGATTGAAAGATTATTTCTTCGTCATGTGAAAATCAACCACAATCCCTCCCGTTGGGGTCTTAGTATCATGCCATCATAAATTCTACAAGAAAAGATCATAACAAGTATCATGCCAACAACTGGTTTCAGAATTAAAGAACCTTAGTGAGCGCGCTCACATACCCCACGTCCCCACATTGTCATTGGAGAAATAAAATAAGTGTAAGAAAAAAAAATTGTATAAGAAAAAAAATTGAATCATAATTTCCTGTCAATATGCAAGTCTACATAGTATGTCCTTATTATCTACAAAGTTTCATGAAATTCTGTTGTGTGGTTCAAGTTCAGTAATCGTTTTCTTATAATTTGATAATTTGGTATTGAACTGAAGGAAAATCATTGATAGAACTTCTGTTGTCAAAAACTCAGTCAATACTAGAATTGACCAGGCCAGCATTAATACTGGTAAAAACTGGGAAATAGTGGTCAATTGAGAAAAATCAGAACTGAATTTACCAAAAGTAGAACATTACAATTTATCATGTAGCCGTTCAGTACTAATGTACAAGAGGGTAGAAATGTACAATAAACATGTGATATAATTCTTGGTAGTGTACTTGGATTTATGAGATTTTAACAAAGGTAAACTATTGTTGCCTTATATTTAACAATAGCAAATCTACGTATGTATCATAATGTGCGTATATGCCAAACAACAATAAAATCATTTGTCCGTCAATACTGCCTAAATGGAAAAAAAAAAGACAATACGACAAACAGTTGTTTTACTTTTTACCAGAAATAAAGTATACTGAGCAACACATACCTCACTTAAACCTGAGTGGTCATGGACGGCTATGCAGTTCCTATAAGATTGTTGTTTCCTTTTTTCTTAAATATTTTGCTGGTTGATATTTAAATAAATGTCTTGTCATGAGGTTTATAAACAACGTGAAGTAGTTTTGTTCGCTATACAGATTCAATATATTTGATTTCTATATTACATAACGTTTATACATGTGTTTCGTTTATTTAATATTCATAGCTGTTGGCATGATGATACAATCTTGATATGGACATTTTCAGGACCGATTGCTCTGTCACTTTTAGTAAGTAACTATGACTTGTATAAAATCACATAAAATTGCAATGTTGTATTAAAAATCGACAAAAAGAAGTAACAAATATATATAACCCCAATGTAATTTAAAATTTCGTACGTCCATATTATGGTATAGTGCGAGTACAAAAATACAAAGATGGAACTTATGTGCACGAGTTTTCCTTTGGATGAATCCAGTTTTTCTGATGTGAGAACTTTGCACATGTATCTTATGGCGAGAATATTGTATCTTATTGTGAGAACATTTTCACGAATACCGTGAAGACTTTTATATATGATTATATCTGGAAACTGACCCACTAGTATTGAGTTAGGAAAAAACCAAAAACCCGAAAACAATTGCACTTTCTTTTTTTTTTTCTCTTTATATACTGAGATTATCCCACAAAAACGATTTTCTCTTTTATTTGAAAATGATGTCATTTTGTGGTCTTTCTGTCCACGTGTTTTTGTATTCCCATATATCATATACCTCTAGCTTGAAAACAAAATTGATGATGCATATTTATATAATTATTTTGGAATGAAGTGAATGATATAATTTATACTATGTTTGGTGAAGTGTAAAGTGAATTGTATGTTTGTAAGGTCTAATCTATTTATGTTCTGTATTCAAGATAATAACATGGTTTCCAAGGCTCCGTGTTGAAGGCCTTACTTTGACCTATAATTGTTAACTTTTTATACATTGTGACTTGGATGGAGAGTTGTCTCATTTGCACTCATACCCCATCTTCTTATTTATATTTACTTTATTTGTATTATGTTCATATTTTTTTCTTGTAGATAAATGTTATTTTCCTAATGAATATAATACGCATTCTTTGTTCAAAAGTAAATGCTAATAGACCGCAATCATTGCAATCTTTAAGGTTTGTAGTTTACATTATAGATTTATGAAACCAATAAAAAAATGTATTACATGTCACTGTAATTTGTTTAATGTAACGTCGTGTTCATATACAGAACTCTGACTGAATTGACATTAAATAACCCCAAACCCCTGATATTTTATCATGATAGGCTTATATAAATGTTGAAAAAAAATCATTAAATATCTGTACTGATTCCGGTAACCAGTATATTGTCATGATTTAGGTAGAAGAATAAAAAAAAAGGAAAAAGAAAAAGAAAGAATTGTTGTTTTTATGGTGTATGATATCCCAGTGCACGACACACTGTTTCCTGATTAACATTGATCAGGTACACTCGTGAAAATTTGGAAAGCTTAAAATACAAAATTATGATAGCGTAAAAACTAAACCGGTCAAATGTAATATGAATATTAACCCTGCTTTGTACTAGGCCGACACGCTGAGCCAGATTTTTAACGAGCTAGTTCACAAAATAACAGTTCGCAGGAAGACATATCAACTTACCCGGACGCATTATTCTGACTCCGAGCCGACCAGTCTTTGCTCTTACTCCTTAATGCCGCGTGTTTGGCGAAGAAGCAGCAAATACCAATTTTAAAGTCTTTGGTTTGACCCGACCTGGGTTCGAACCCACCAACCTCCCTCACTCGAGGCGAACACGATACCAACAGACCACTGAGGCGGTTCAAAAAATCATGAAACCCTAATACAAACATGTAACACAGAAATTAAAAATTGTAAAAATACTGATTTCTGACAGACTAATGTCTCGTCAAAAATATGAAGGATGTATCTGTTAGATTTATAATACTTTTTAGTATTCGAAAACAAGTGGCAAAAAAGTAGCCTTATTAAACCGTGTCGATTGTTAAACTTGACATTTGTATTTTTCAGGCAATCTCTAAAAGCAACCTGTATTTTGATACCTTTGTTAGGCATTCAGTACATTGCTTTACCATTCCGTCCAAACGACGGAAACGAACATGGCAAATATGTGTATGATATGGCGTCAGCGTGTCTTTCTTCATTTCAGGTACAATTAAGTATTTTAACCATTTTGAAAATTTTCAAAAGTAACAAAATGTTTTTCTTTTTTTTATATTTTTACATAAGATGAAAAGTGAAAACGCGGAAAAGCCAGATCAATTAATTTGAAGTATGTATGTGCAGTGTATATTTTATAAGTCTATTTGCCAATTCCGCAATTGACCCTGTAATTAGAGATTCATATTTTGGGTTGCTTCCCTTAAGATGGACATACATTTTCATTGACAATAAAGAGCTCTTTAGCGGAAATATTAAATTTATTTGTGCTTTATGTGTGTAATCTTTAAGTTTGTCAACTCTTTTCATTCCATTTAATCTTTTATATTGAAAGTTATTTTTAACACCTAAAAAGATGTTCGATTATTTTTCAGGGTTTTCTTGTATCTCTTCTTTTCTGTTTCTTGAATGGAGAAGTGAGTATTCTAAACTTGTATGAATATTGCCAAGTGCGCTGAAAAAAGGCATCTAACTGTAGATGTAATCAGATATCTAACCTTTAAAATGATATTTGATGTAAATTCAATACCAATATTAAACTAGCTGACCAGCAAATGTGTTGTTCATGTTTAAGTAGTCTTAAACATATAAATACTATATTTTTTCACAAATAACTACAAAATACACAAAAATTTAAACAAATTACCAATTAAAGCACAAAGAGAACATAGATGTTATTAAGAAATCCATGACTATAGTTCAATTACGTGTACACAATACTATAAAATTGTACGTTTATAAATAATGAAATTATTAAGAAACTAAGGTTTCAACTCCCTCAGGCAAAGTTGACCTTATATGCACTTGGCTAATTTTTTAGTTCCTTTTTGGTTATATAGCTCTTTAACTGTTTCGGTTTTTATACATCCTTGGCTTTCAAATATTCGGCTTTGAGCGTTCCTGATAAAATCCAGAAAAGCTCTTCGGACGTGTTGTTTTCATTTTATTAAAGAATTTGCCAATGTGTAAATGAAATTTATTTGATTTGACATTGCTAAACTTCACAGAAATGAATATAAAATTAAAATAATTATAAAGTTTTGGGATGTTACAGGTTTTGAGTTTGCTTAAATCACAGATTAAAATGCTGCAGCGATGTGTGAGTTATACAGAGACTTTACCGAGTTACATGTATGCATCGGTTTACCGATCTGAAGGCGGAAAACACATCACTGACACAGAGCTCAAGGTTAACTATATTTTGTTGCTATGATATAATCAGAATAATATGATAACCAATTTCAAGTTGATTATATCTCAAATTTAATGAACGATAGACACCATAGTCTTCCTACTGTAAATATGCATTATCACTATTGAATTTATTTCATGATGGAATATACATCATTTGTATTTGTAAGTTCAAGAACAATTGGTACTTTTGAAATCTCTAATATGAGCTTTAACCCAACTAAAATGATTAATTAGACTGACAAAAATCGTTGAATGATGAGAGCGAAAGTCCTAACCGGTCAACAATTTTCGACACTGTTTAATTAAATTTTAGTTTGGTCAAAGCATAATATAATCCAATATAATCAATTAACATTATTATCCAGACAGCGTCGCACTGTGTAAATAATAATTTTTATTGCTAACCATATTGAGGATATAATCAATAAAGTGCTAATAATACAAATGACCTATATTTCATTTCTCGAATCCTGACGCCGACTATACACATGAACGCTCCTTCCGCTGACCGTGTATTTGAGCATTCAGTTATAATTTATAATTTGTACGCTCCGCCAACTGATCGCATAAACTGATCATTTTTTCATATTCCATGTAGCGTGCATAGTTTGAAATGTTCTTATGCCTTCTCAAGATGGAACATAAGACAATTTGCCGATATAACTGATGAGGAAATTGCGTAAAAACGATTGAAAATTATGATTAATAAAGAAGCTGCTACTATTTTCCAGGAGTACATAAAAAGAAATATTATCGATCCGGGATTCGAACATTTGACACATTCAATAAACTCACCAAAGATGCCAGGATAAGTAAAAAAGGCCAGAGAAGGTACGAATTTAAAGAGAATTGATGGCCAAAAATTCCGAAAGGTTTTGCCAAATAAAGCTAAGGTTATCTATTCCGAGAGTAGGAAATCCTTAGTATGTGTTAAATGAAACGTTGAACCATTAGTATTTGGATATGCGAAAAACTGATAGAAACGATTATAAAACAAAATTCACTGCAATGCTTAAGACATTCATTGAATGCCCCAGTTCACAATAAAACAAAGTTGAATCATTAAAGATGAAAGTATTAATGCTTTCTAGATGAAAATACAAAGTAATAATAGCAGAACTATAAAGCTTGGAGTTTATGAGATTTAGAGCAGTCTGTATTGTACCAGCGGGTTGATAATGGTGACAAGATACGTATGGGACAGACGTTTACAGAAAGCATCACTGAGCTTTTTAATGCTAGGTTTAACTGTTGGTGAAACGTCATCGAACACTCGTGCTTTATCTAGCTCCAGTTCTACAGTGTCTACAAACTTTGGCAAATACCCTTACTTTTAGATTTCCTCCTTTACCGAATATTTCTACAGAGGGAACACCACTGCTATGAGTATGAGCACGTAGTTGTGTTAGTTATTACGTTAGTACTCTATAAACATCTGTAAAGGAATATAAAGGTCCGCTTTTGCCATTATGCAAACTGTTGCCGTGAAATGCCTTTACACCAAAGCAATTAATTTCAGTTCCTCAATGAAACAGTACACAAACATTTCGTGAATCATAACAAGGCGTCAATCTAAACGAACTTTTCAATGATTTTACTAAAACTTCCGTAAACATAAATCATACTTCACTCTACTGACAACAACTTTTCAACAACCGTTCCGTTACTATTGGCTATAAAGACACTGACTCGACTGTTTCGGTTCGTACACATACTTGGTTATCAATATTCGACTTTGAGCCTGAAACGCATGAAATTTATAAAGTATTGTTTTCATTTTTAAGATGAAAAACAGAACTGATTTATTCAAAGAATACGTTTTCATTTGGAGTTATGTTAAATTAAAAGACAGTGTTCTGGAGTATTTAACTTTTATTTCATTCAATTTTATTCTAGTTTTATTTATTATTCAAATTTTAAGAGTTTTCTGGATGAAAACTCTTTGTACTTTGTACATCTTTTATAATTTATTTTTATGATATATAATTGAGAAGTAAAATAATGCATTCAATTCAATTCCTCTCCATTATTCACGCCATGAATTGCTGTCATTATTATTGGCCTGCATATAGATGTCAACACTGTTGAATTTTCGATTAAAGGTCAACTTTTCGTCTGTTGTCTGATATTTGCTTGCGCTCTGATCTAGGCCAATACACGCTAATGTCATCAGTGTTTTTCTTGATTTGTTCTTATTATAGCCCACATGTGCATACAACGTAAACAGGTTATAACGTGATTGCATTTAGGCTACATGTGTTTGTTATATAAGAAGATTACTGTTTTTGAGCATGTGTAAGGCGAACATGGTTATTTAGCAGATCGCCTTACAGCCAGTAGAATCCAAGGTTACAGCTGCATTACCGTACAAATCGTCTTAACAAAAGACAAGTTTATACCGCACATGGTATGATAAAAATTCCTCTTACTCCAAACAAGTGGTGAATGAATATAAAAGGTTACAAAAACTTGAATTGACATCAATTTAAATCTATGAGGAACCAAAAAATGTGATAAAGACAAAAGACAAAAAGTGATTTGGTACAGACGTGAAACTTTATTTCGTACTGTTGAACCATGTATTCCTTGATAATCATATATCCAGGTCAACATGAAAGTGTTTGCAAATCTTTTGATGGTTGGCTTTGTTGTTTCTTGGTCCAATCTTTGAAAGACGTGGACTTCGAAACGATCATATTAAGAGTTAAAAGGTAGGACGACACCACGGGGCAATACAAAAAACACTTAGTCAATGAAAGACACACAATAAAATGACCAGAAAAAACAACAGTCCCAAATACTATAGTTTACACACAGAAAACTAAAGACGAAGAAATACGATCCCAACTTAAGGATTCATGAAATATGGTGTCAAAATACACAAAAAATAAAAAAAAAAAAAAAAAAAAAAACGTTATCAATCTAATGCGTCTGAAGCGCTTTTCTGGATTTAACTTCATCAGGAACGCTTAAGCCGAATATTTGAAAGTCAAGGAAGTACAAAATATAACTTTGAATAACCGACCTTCCTTTAAGAAGACAAATTTTCACTTCTATCTTTCTATAAAATATTGTCTATTAATAGATGAAAAAAAATCATAGGTGGGGAAAAATATCATGAAACATAATCAAAATTTTGCTTTACACAAGCACCATTAACGAAAAAAAACACTTTTAAAATTGCCTCTTTTACAGCAATTTATATATATATTGTTAATACATGTATTTAAAACACTGTACTACACTTGATTAATGTGTGCAACAATTTAATCTACTCAGATGCAAACTGAAAATTAAAACGATTGAATGATTGGTTGTTGGTTGCTTAACGTACAGTGGCAAATATTTGATGCATGTTAAGGACGATGACAAAAACCCCGATTAAATGGATAATGCTTCAAAAACCCACAAGTCGAAGAAAGACTGACAGCACCCCCGATTTTCAAACGATTAAATGGATAATGCTTATATAATCGGGGGTGCTGTCAGTTTTTCTTCGAATTGTGGGTTTTTACTTATCACTGGTATTTTCTCTCTTTCTTACACTGATGATATATACAAGATGTTAGTTTTCTCGTCGTTTGAATTTTTTTATATATGTCATGTCGGGGCATTTATAGATTTTATTTGCTCATTGTTGAAGGCCTAACGGTGATCTATAGTTGAACTTCATTTGGTCTCTGATGGAAAGTTATCTCATTGGAAATCATCCAATTATACATCATATTCTTAATTTTATATTAATACAATAAGTTATTGTTCGACCTTCAAAGTTGTGTTTAATTTACTTATATTATTTACGTGTTATCTAATTCTATATTTCAGGAACATATAATAGAAGATAAACAGGTCGAAGTTGACTTTTCTTTGGCATAATTGTAGCCATTACTTTACACTGTTGTGCTGGATCGTCGTGTTTAAATTATTTATCTATTAATAAAATATTGTTACATATGACCATGCGTAAGTACATATGCATAAATATTTGTTTATATATAAACAGCAATTCATATTAAAAAAGTAATTGTTTTTTGTAACACTTTGATTAAAAAGAAAGCAAAAAGCATGGTATGCATCGAAATGTGTTTGAAAAACTCATCAAAGATAAAAACTGAATTCAGAAACAAATACTAGGATAGACTGAAAAATTAAAGAATACAAAAATTCAAACAAAAATCAACCAATTATTAGCAAAATAATAATAGTAAAGAAAGGATAAGTTTCTTAAGTGTATGTGTACTGTTTCCTTAAAAATGTATTAAGGGTTTTGCTTATAAAACACATTTCTATATTAGTAGCTTCTTGTAAATGTATAAAAATTGCTTTATGGAAATCTGTAAATATTGAAAGACCCTAACTGTAAATATTTTTAATAAAGGAAACTCGGGTTAAGAGGAAATCGCATTTTCTCAGAGACCATATGTCTGAAAGCTTTAACACTCATTTAGATTGCTAACCATGATAAACGTCTTTTTGACTTTTGAAAATAGTGAGCATTATGGGACAGTTGCTATTTTTGTACAAATGTACAATTAAAAGGTTTTACGGAATCCATCACGAATTGGTTCACCTTTATGGAATATATGTGTCACAGATGACCACGAATATGCTCCAATTGTCGTAACTACAATCCCGTCTTCTTTTTCCTCGATTGTGAAATTACAGAACGAACATGACGTTTGCCACTAGTGGAGCAGAGTCTTTTTATCCTTTCGGAGCACCTGAGAACATCCCTAGTTTTTTGTGGCGTTCTTTTTGCTAAGTATTTTAATTTTAGTTATCTATGGATTGTTTTATGGACTTGTTTTTGTCGTCGTCTTGATTTTGGGCTATGACGTTTCTCTTCTTCGACTTTTACGTTATAAATATCCCAATGGCATTTTCCTCCTCTTTTTTCGTGTAGCATTTAAATGAACCGTGTGAACGCTACTCCACCAAAAATTATTTTCCAAAAGGTTCAAACTTACTACGATTGTTAGCGTCTTTTTTATGGTCTATTGTTGCACACTAGTAAAACAACTTGTTCGCCCAACTCTGAGAAAGATGTCCGTTAAAATACAAAGTATGAGTACATGAAATTACAGACAAAAAATGCTAATAGAAGTTGCGATACAAAGTAAGTTCTCAGAGTAAATGCTGTTATAAAATTGAGAATGGAAATGGGGAATGTGTCAAAGAGACAACAACCCGACCATAGGGCAGATAACAGCCGAAGGGCACCAATGGGTCTTCAATGCATACATCACCGCTATTCACAAATGTAAAAAAGTATAACCCACTCAAGGTAATAACCGACAAATTACAAGATTGTTACATGTTTTATATAATCTAGACGTATTGTGTTATCTGGGGCATTCGTTTACTCAGCTTGCCAATTTTGTTCAGTGAGAGATCGGATGAAGACCAAAGTCAAAACATATGCCAGGTGATTATTGTAATTGGTGTTGATATGACTTGATATCCTTCTACTAAGGGTTCCTGAAATCGTTCTTTAAAATAAGAACACAAAGTTCTATTCAGTTGAAAAACGCCACTGATCTGTTATTTTGTTATTATAATATAATTTAAAAAATTAAATCAAAATACAAATTAAAATTAAAATAATAACAATTCACAAAAAGTTGCAAATGAATCAATTCAAATGACATTGAACAAATGGAGCATTCAATTGAATTTATAAAATTAAATGCAAAGATTGTTTTTACTTTCAGATTACAGTTTTTCATTAACACGCTTTTTCACAAGTTCACTTATGAATGTCTCTGAAATGTTTCTAGTATCACAGTAAATGTTAATAAATTATATTGTATATTTTCAAAACATCAACAAAGTAATAATTTACCTGAAAAATAAATCTAATTAGAATTTATTTTCCTCTTACATTAATAATAGATATTAAATTAGTTTTTTTGAACTTTAAACACAATAAAATTGATCAATATTTTCTATGACTATATATCACTATGCACAAACTACATAACATACTTTCATTTATTGGTAAATGAAATCAACAATATAACTGTTCATTGAGTTGTATAAAAGCATAAAACGGAAAAATAATGTTGGCACTTTTCTCAAAGTAAAGCGAAAGACAAGGTATGCAAAAAAAAATGAAGTTAGAAATAAACGTTTAACCATAAATACTTTCTCAATTTAAATGTTTAAGTCGTTTTAACTTTATTGGATAAAAATTAGTAACGGTTTCTTACCTTTATTAGGCTTTAAAATAAAAACACAAAGTTCTAATCAGTTGGAATACACAATTAGTACCCTAACTGAACAAACTTGTTTATATAGTACCCGGAGAAATTATCGGTTAATGAAATAAAGTAATTAACGTCTATACTAAAATGTTGAATCTTTGAAAAAAAGGAGTAAGAAAATACCGAACTATATGATAAATTCGAAAAGGGAGAAGTCCATTAAACCTGACAAATCCAGTATCTAAAACTTTGTAAAACAAACATCACAGACATACAATACAACTGACAAAAATTACAAACAAATATCCAAATAAATCTTTTTTGTTGTTGATAGTATATTAAAAGATAATGACTTACTAGTATACACTTCCCCGATAAAGTACAAATTAAGTAAAATATAAATACAAGGGTAAACAAAAGGAAAATATCAACACTGTAAAAACCTCCTACGTCCGAATCGCACCTCTGGACCCACCTGCACCAGGAACACCCAAAGCCAAAAAAAAAGATAGCTGGTTGACCAAAAGGAGCAATAAAACAATACAAAGACAAATAAAGGATAAACTGTTATAAAAAAGATACTCAACTTTAGTACCTTAAATCTATAACTCAAAACCATCTTGTATTATTTGTGAAGTAGACACTATTCTATCTATCCATTAGGTCTTGATACTTTTCCATGAATTTCTGAGAAAAAGGACGAGACGTTCTTTGACAAAACACCGCTGAATTATTCTTATTTAAACTCTCAATACAATTAAGATCTAACGTATCATGTGTGATTGGGTTTGCCTAACATGGTCACCCCTCAAGTGTATTTACAAGTATAATATTCTGAATAGAATGTTTGCTTATATCATACACTACTCTGGCTAAATTTCTACATGTTCTATCAATTTTATACATGTCCATTTAATTCTTGAAAAATGCAAAAAAACTTATACTATGATTATTCTTTATATTTTACATAACTTTAAATGAAAAATCTCTTGTGATACATATAAAAAGGATCAAAACCAGTATGAGTAATTATTGACAAGAATATTTCATTGATAGAGGGTTGCTGCTAACAAGGAAGCTATTAAACCAAGAGTTCCAAGTGCTGAAGTTGAAATCATCCCTTCGTAAGTTTTACGGACGCCATCACGAGTTGGTTGACCGATATGGAATATCCGTTTCACAGATGATAGGGGATATGTTCCAAATGTCGTAACTATATACAATCCCGTCCCCTTTTCCCGAATGTGACCTAACGAATTAGACTTATTACCGGGTTTGTACTAACATTAGCAACACGACGGGTGCCACATGTGGATCAGGATCTGCTTATCCTTCCGGAGCACCTGAGATCAACCTCAGTTTTTGGTGGGGTTCGTGTTGCTCAGTCTTTAGTTTTGTATGTTGTGTTTTGTGTACTATTGTTTGTTTGTTTTTAGCCTTGGCGTTGTCAGTTTATTTTCGACTTGTGAATATAAAAGAAGATGTGGTATGAATGCCAATAGACATTTGCGGAAACTACGTCTATACCTAGGATTACAGTTAGACTTACGATTACAGTTGAAGAAAAACAAGGGGTCATCTCAAAATAAAAAAAAAAAGCAACAATAGAGATACCTAGTAAAACCAAATGATTGTTTTTGTTATGTTAATAAAACGTTTCGACGACACACAAATGCAGCTCAAATGGTCACAACAGATTTGAATCGCTGTATTGGATATGTCACCAAATAATCCCCATAACTTTGTTGGTTTTTTTTTTAATTCTTCGATGGCGTGTTCAAGCTTTACCTTATAGTGTGTGTGTAATAAGTCCATTTAATTTTTTAGACTGCCTCTACATATCCTGGGGTTTCGAACAATCTGTTGTCTTGTATAAAGTTTATAATCTTTTTGTTATAGTTCCAAAATTGTGTCTTACTTTAGTTTAGTAAAGCAAAATCAGCAAAAAATCGTTCAGAGGGTACCCTACAAACGGTACACTTGAAAATCGGGGAATATGCGACAAGCAAGTATAACACAATATAATTATTAAGCAATGCTTTTGAAATATCAATGTCCTTCGTTTTCACGATTACATTTTGTATCCGAAACTGTTTCCTAACCTGCTTAAATAGTTTTTCTTCTCGGCTGATATACCTTTGCACCTTTTATCCCTTTTAATCAACGAAATAATTTTGCGGATAAACTTTGTGTGACCGTCATAAGTGCACTCTAGAGTACAATTGTACCGGTCTCGGATCAATACTTACTGCTCATGCTTCGATCAGACCAGACCCACCCATGTTTATGGGAGAGAAATGCTTATAGACACCGTGAAAAAAACGTCTATACTCAAATGAATCCCAAGATCTCTATCAAAATTGCAAAAAAACAAACAACTCAGAAGTCATTATTACCTGCGTCTCTGAAGGCGAAAGCAGATTTAGTAACCGCTCGGCTCTGTCAGTTCATCCGTTCGAAAGACCTTGCTTAAAGTTTTCCTGGTCTCTATAGAAAGGAATGATATTATATTTGGTCTACAGCTTAATAATTAGTGAGTTGAGACCCTCAAGTATAATGCCATGAGAATAAATGGTTCTTTTAAAAGCACCAAACCTCTGTATATCCTCCCATTATCTTAAAAAAAATAGGCAGTGGCTATTCGTCCGGCTAGCCGGACAAATAGTCAAAAATGTCTAAATGTCTATTCATTCGGCAAGCCGGACAAATAGCATTTTTACGGTTTTTCGCTATTTGTCCGGCCAAAATATAATGCTGAAGATATAACATCGTGTTTTTTAGGAGATGGATAA